CGGGACATCTCCGGGCCCTGGATGGTGCTTGGAGATTTTAACTTGATCCATTTCCCCCACGAGAAAAACAACGATAGGTTCGACGCCTCCCGCACTGCGGTTTTTAACTCTCTCATCAATGGTCTTGCGCTGCACGAGCTCGCTCTGTCTGATCGCCTATTCACCTGGACTAATAAGCGAGACCCGCCGATGTTGGCTCGCTTAGACCGTGTCTTCTTTGACTCGGCCTGGGATGTAGCCTTCCCGGACTCGTCCCTCTCCTCCCGCCCTCGGCCAACCTCGGACCACGTCCCCTTGGTCGTGGAAGCACTCACCAAAATCCCATCATCTCCGCGCTTTTTCTTTGAGAACGCCTGGCTCCGCGACCCACAGTTTCTCCCCTCCACCCTTCCTTCCTGGTCGAACGCTGGTCATGGGCGGTGCGCGGTGGGCTGCTTGGCAGCCCACAAGAAGAGGTACAGAGCTGCGGCCAAGGTTTGGAAAAGGCAACACAAGTTCATTCCCACTTTCGATAATGACTGTAAATTCTTGATTGACTTGGTTGATTTTTGGGAGGAATGCCGTCCTTTATCCGTTGATGAAATCAGGCTCCGTCATGACTCGCATCTGGCGCTGGTGGCCTCCATCAAGCGTCAGAGCGCGTACTGGAAGCAGCGCGGGAAATGTCGAGCCGTCTGCGAGGGTGATGAGAACATGGGCTTCTTCCACGCAAGCGCCTCCCAGCGTAGGCGATCCAACACCGTTCGGGCCTTGGATGTGGACGGGGCTACCATCCTCGACCACGCGGGGAAGGCGGCGGCCCTCCTCTCCTTCTAGTCCGAGCTCCTGGGCAGGGAGCGTTCGTCCGTTTGGCGCTTCGACCTGTCGGCCCTGTGCCGAGACGCTGCTCGGGTTGACGGAGCTGCCCTGACTCGGACGTTTTCGGCCGACGAGATCAAGGAGGCGGCGGCTCTGCTGGATCGCTCCAGCGCGCCTTGGCCGGACGGCCTCGGCCCGGCGTTCTACCAGGCGGCCTGGGGAGTCGTCTCCGAGGACCTGCAGCAGCTTTTCGCTGTTGTCCACGACGGGGCGGCGGACCTCGACGCGATCAACCGGGCCTACATCGCCCTCCTGCCCAAGGGGGCGGGGGTGCCAACGCCGGCTGCTTTCCGCCCTGTCTCTCTCCAGAACGCGGATGTGAAAATTCTCTGCCGCGGCCTCACCTCACGGCTGCAGCAACAGATTGGAAGCATCATCGACTGCGATCAGTCCGGGTTCCTGGCTGGTCGGAGCATCTCTGAGAACTTTGTCTGCGCTGCCGAGGTCATACAGTGTTGCCACAGGCGCCGCGCCCCCACGCTCGTCTTCAAGCTCGACTTCACCAAGGCTTTCGATTCTGTAGACTGGGGTGCACTGCGCCGAATCCTCGAGGTGCGAGGGTTCCCTGACCAATGGTGCTCTTGGCTGGATTTGATCTTCCGGTCCTCCCGATCGGCGGTGCTCCTGAACGGCGTGCCTGGGAAATGGTTCACGATGCGCCGGGGCCTGCATCAGGGGGACCCGTGCTCGCCCTTCCTCTTCCTCATCGTCGCCGACGTGCTGCAGCAGATGATCCGGCAAGACGGCGGGCTCTTCCATCCTCTTGTGGACGGAGAACCACCTCTCGTGCTGCAGTATGTAGATGATACGCTGGTTATTCTCAAGGCGGACGCCGGAGCGGCTGCCCATCTTCGACGGATCCTCGATGACTTCGCGGCTGCCACGGGACTCACCATCAACTTCTCCAAAAGCACGCTAGTGCCCATGCATGTTCCGGCGGACGTGCTGGACATAACCGTCGGCGCCCTCGGCTGCGATGTTCAAGGATTCCTGCAGACCTACCTCAGGCTCCCTCTCTCCTGGGAGAAACTCTGCTTCGCGGATTTCCTCCCCATGATCGCCAAAGTCGACAAGTACTTGTCGGGGTGGCGGGCGCGCCTTCTCTCCCCTGCCGGGCGGCTCGTCCTCATCAATGTCGTCCTGGATGCTCTTCCCACGTACGCTATGGCGGCTATGTTGCTCCCTCCGGCGGTGATCAAAGCGCTTGACTCGCTGCATCGTGCCTTCCTTTGGAACGCGGCTGAGCGCGCGTCTGGCGCCCAATGCTTGGTGGCATGGGAGCGAGTGTGCCGGTCCAAGGCGGAGGGCGGGCTGGGGGTTCACGACCTCACGACGCAAAACCAGTGCCTCCTGATCAAGATGCTACATCGACTCCATGCCTGCTACGCGTCGTCGCGATGGGCGACGTGGGTCTGGGCTGAGCTCGCGGGACGGTCCCTCCTCTCCAGGTCGGCAGCTCGGACGGCCGGGGAGCACGGCAAGGCTCTCAGCGGTCTCCTCCCGCTCTACCGCAGTCTTACGACGGTGGAGGTCTGTGACGGGAAGCGAACATCCTTCTGGTTCGATAATTGGCTCCCATGTGGAGCTGTTGCGGCGGCCTTCCCCGCCCTCCTCTCACACGCGACTGATCGGGAGGCCACGGTGTGGTGGGTGCGCTCCCACGGGCTGAGCAGTGCTCTCGTGCCCAGGCTCACCACAGCCGGCGCGGCGGAGAGGGACTCCCTCCTGATGCTAATGGATGGGGTCGCCCCAGCCCCGGGGAACGACGTGCGGAGCTCGGTGTTGTGCCCGGGTCCTCGGGGGGGCATTGCGGCGGCCAAGGTCTACGCTCTGGAGAGGTTCGGTGGGGTGCAAGCTTCCTTCGCCGAGTTCATTTGGGGGTGCGCTGCTCCCTCTCGTGTCCGCTTCTTCGGCTGGCTCCTGGTCCAGCGAAGGGTGCACACGCGGGACGTCCTTCTTCGGAAAACCATCGTCGCTGTGGAGGAGGCGGCGTGTCCCATCTGCGGTGATGCGCTTGAGACGGCTGATCACATGATCTTTTCTTGTCCTTTCGCGCGCGCGTTCTGGAGAACCATTGGGCTCGAGGTGGCCGGACGAGGATACAATGTGGGGGCTCTACAGGACCTGGACGTTGGTGCCATGGCCGGTGAAGCTGCTACTGCGTCCTTTGTCCTGCTGTGCTGCTCGCAGCTTTGGAAGCATAGAAACGCGGTGGTCTTCCGGGCCGCGCCGCCCTCCCTTGCCCGTCTCCTCGGCTGCTGCAGGGAAGATGCTGTCCTGTGGAGGGGGCGCCTGAAGGTGGCTGATCGGCCGTGCATTGACAGGTGGTTGCTGGTGTTCGCGTACTCCGGCTAGTTCATCTTGCTTGCCGCGGGGGAGGGCTTGTGCTCCCCCCACCCTCTCCGGCGCGGTTGTGCGTCGGGGAGTGCTGTCGCTTCTCTCCCTCCATCTGTAAAAACCTGCCTCCCCGCGGGGGGGTGATTCAATAAAGAGAAAAAGAAAATTCAGGTGGAGGGCTTTCGCCCTCCCCCGGTGACTTTCAAAAAAAAAATTATCTCCAATCGTTTTTTTTTTTGGGAAATAACTTGCATTACTCATGTAGCACCTGCTACTTCAGAATTACAGAGTTCCACAATATTAACAGGACCAGAGGCGAGCCAAACTGCAGTTCTACCACTGGTCCTCCGGTAGCTAGCTAATACATGACTCATCAAATTCTGGTTTCGTCCAATATGAATAATACAAGTATTTCTATGTGACATGAATGATCTAATCTCATACACCATGAAGCCAAAACAAGATCTATCCATTACATTCTTCTTTAACAAATTTACTGCTTCAACTGGCATCTGGCTCCATTGCAAGGCGAAAGCCAAACCTTCCTTGATAGCCAAGAGCTCTGCTTCCAATGCTTCAGAACAATAGTGTAAGCATCTACATGAAGAAAAAACAGTGTCTCCTGCTTGGTCCCTAAGGAACATACCACTTTCTGCTGATCATCTTCTCGAACAAAAGCTCCGTCAGTATTTAACTTGACCCACCCAGGTTCAGGGAGTTCTCAACGTACTCCCTCCGTTCGGAATTACTTGTCAAAAAAATGGATGTATCTACAACTAAAATACATCTAGATACATTCCTTTCTTCGACGAGTAATTCCGAACGGAGGAAGTATCCACCATCGCTAGCATGTCCATCGAGTAGCTTCAGATTTGCAGAAGGTTCAGAAACCGGTGCCTTGCCTTTTACTCGATCGAAGAGAGGATCATCTTGGATAGCAAGGATGGACTGAACATAACTGCACAAGAACCGCTTAGACACATCAGTTGGAGGTGCAGGTTTATAATGGATAATTTCATTACGGACGAACCAAAACCTCTATAAGAGCATAAAGCAGATGCAGCCTTAGAGATTCAGGAAGATCACCAACCAGATGCAACGGCCATTCATGTCATGTATTCTGAACCTCGAGTACCGGTGGCAGCGGCCAAACTTCTGCGACTGAATTCCAAAGATCTACTGCATGGGGGCACCCACACAACGTATGAAATGTGCTTTCAACCTCAATCGCACAGATGGGACATCTAGCATCCGATTCCATAGAAATTCTATGCTTCCTTTCCAATGTAGGTAGAGCATTGGTTGTCGTACCCCATGCAAAGACACAGACCTTGGCTGGAGCATTACAACCCCAAACTTCTCTCCAATATTTCCTATCACCAGAGGGCGAGGTGCTTGAAGAAATTTGGTTCTGCTGGATGCTGGTACAGTGCATCGAATGCCAGTTTATAGGCACTCTTAACTGTAAATTCACCCGACGGTTCACAAGCCCACGCAATGAAATCATCCCGCACAATACTAGGAAGCTTAATTTTTAGTATTTCAGAAGCATCAAGGGGCGAGTACTGACGAATCCGATCAGGATACCATGTTCCGTTAATACCAATCAATCGAATTTGAGTCACAGGTACTCAGAATTTTTTTAGCACAGCAAAGAAACAATGTGTTGATTCAGCTTCGCCTCCTCCATACATATCTCTAGCGAGATACATCATACAATCACTCAAATGAGAGCTAACCAAATGGGACAAAAAGTCCACATTGCATAACCATGCATGCTAAATTATCAAAGGAAATGGGATAAACTAAAGCTCGACCGTATTTGACAAAGATAGACAGTCAACAAGAGTATGCGGTCGCTGCACCAAGCTAGATGGTCGTTCGATGCGTCCATCCACAAGATGATATGCTCCAACTTCTAACAGACTTCTCTCAGTAAAGTCAAAGCTCGGGTAGATGGTGTCGGGGCTAATGGAGCCAGAGGGGAAAACCTCTAGAGGCACTGAGAAAGAGCAATGCATGCCCCAGAACATCGCTCGCCCTGCGCCACCACCCAAGCTCTTGACTGGGAATAGTGTTCCGGTATCCAAATTCACACGATACATGTTGTACCAGTAACACGATCCATTCCGCGACGTCAATGGTAGAATCTGACGGTGGATCAGCATCAGGTCACCACAACTGTTGACGAGGTGCAACCCTTCCGAATATGGGCAGACACGCATATTCAGCTTGGCAGCCACCTCCGCCCGTGGTGGCTGGTTTGGAGAGATTTGCAGCGCCATGACACCATCAACGTTAACATGGTAGAAGCGCCCTGCAAACATTAACGGCGTGTCTGTAAACCCATCATGGTTGTACTTCAGCAACATCCAGTGGTCATCGCCGGGCTTGGCCGTGCCAAGCATGCAGAACCTATTGAAGCAGAGCACCACTGTTGAATCGTCACTGGCAATGCCCGAGCCCGTCGCTAAGAAATCGTCTATGTTGAAATAGGAAAGCAAGACATGGTCCTTAGAGGGCAGCAGCGTGGTGAGCGGCGGTAGCTTTATGAGGTGACGCGTGAGCGGGTTGAGCAGGCGGACGTGGTTATGGTCGTGGAGCAGGACGAGGAGGCCCTCGGGAGTGACGGCGAGCAGCTCATGGTCAAGGAGCTCCGGTAGGTCCACTTGGATGCATTCGCCGGTGGAGGAGTTTAGGAAGCAACGGCGGTTGGGGACAGCGAGGGGCTCGCGGAGTAGGACCCACCGCGAGGGATGGAACCGGCGGTCGAGCCCGCAGTGGGAGCGCGGTTCCGTGCAGCACTGCCGCCATGCGCGGCACACGGCACGGAAGCGGAGATAGTCGGCGACGTCATACGCGAGGACGCGCTCGGCGATCAGCCCGGCCGGCCCGTCGTCTAGATCAGACCAGTCCCTTCTGGGAGCGGAGAGCAGATCAGATCGGACGGGAGTGATAATCCGCGGTGTGCGTGCGCGCTTCGCGCCCCAATTGGGAAGCTGGCTGGAGCAAGGTCTCAGAAGATGATGAGGTCGTTTTCTTCCCCGCCGAGATGATGGTTTTCTTCCATCGTCTCCTCCTCCTCCTTGGCTCTCGCAACAGGAACAGGTGATCCTTGGACGCTTCGCCCGAAGGGCGGGACGAGGGAAAGGAGGAGCATGGGATCGGGCGGCCGCTTCTTCCATTCCGGCGACGAGGGTTTCCGCCCGGAAGGGGAGGACAAACGCGGGCTTCTTCTTCACAAGGTACGACCTCAAAAGCCCTTGCCGCGGTCTATATAACGAACTCGGGCCGAGGTCGGTGTGGGCCTAATCCGAGTCTGATTGCCTTATCAGTTATCACACGCGTTCATCTACTTTCAAGAAAAAAGTTCATGACTTTCTTTCGCAATTACTTCTCACAAATTTGGAAAAGGAAAGAAAAATAGAACAGAGAGAAAAAACGAAGAAAAAAGAAGAAATAGGTTAAAAGGCGAAACAACTCAGCATATGAACTGTTGTCTGGTTGGTTGTGCCATTGTACTATTTACAAGAACGTCGCGGGTTCGAATCGTCCCATTGCACACTCTTTTTGTTTTTTATTTTTTTATATAGAAAACAGAAAAAAAAGGCGGAAGGAAGCGGGATGGGCCGGCCCGTTATCCAACCAATCGTACAGGAGGGGTATGCGCCCTGTACGAAATGCACTGTATTCGGCGTTGAAGGCGCCGAATAGGATTTGGCTCGGCACTGCTTCTGTCGACTACCATTTTTTTTAACATTAGTACAGACACAAGCGCTCATATACATGCGCATACACCCACCCCTATGAACGCACACACGCACACCATACCCCTATGAGCACCTTTGAAAGACTGAGTCGGCATATCATCTTGAGATTTACGAAGTCACCGTAGGCGTCTCGTCGTCGATGGGAACGTCTTCTCCCACTGAATGCGCATCGCCGGAAATCCTGAAATAAATTCAAAAATAAATGCGAACACCAGGATTTGAACCCTGGTGGGTTGGGGATACCACGGTCCCTCTAACCATCCAACCACAGGTTGGTTCGCTCCTGCCGACTACCGTTGTTCCCCCAAGCAGTCGCATCCTGATCCTAGTTGTCATAGGGAGACACGAGCAATGGAGCCGTCGGGGACGAGGAGGAGGATGCCATGGACGGTGGGTCAGGTGGGTCGGGTGCGGCTTGACCAGCGTTGTGGCGAGGCGTGGGTCAATTGAAGCTCGACCAGGTGGGCTGGGTCAAAACCAAAGGAAAAAAAACAAGATTGAAAACTAAACCACTGACGTGGCACGCACAGCCAATGAGAAACAAGGAATTTTTTTAACGAGGTATTTTCCTGAAAAAGTTTGATTCAATTGAGTAAAATTGTGATTTTGTTTTGGTAAATACTGTCACAAACATGAAACTGGGTTTGGGTAAAAAGTGGAATGCACTCAAAAAAGGTGAATAGGTGGTTCTTATGCAAACTTATTTTTGTTGTAATTCTGTGGAGAGAAACGGAATAATGCTATAGGCACGGACCTGCTATGGA